GCCCATTTCATTTTCTGAATAGCATTGTCTGCTGAGAACATTGCTGTCATTGCTGACTAGTCTAGGAGGATTTTGTCTCATGGTCACAGTACAGACCACTGGAAACTTTGGATGTCATCCAATAAAGGTAGCCTGAATATCACTAACTTAGGCCCATGGAAAGGCTGATTAGAAGGTAACTCTGACAGCAAAGTCAATGCCAGGTGTCAGAGAGGTAGCCATGGCAGCATGGGGGGTAGGCTGAGGATCTGGGCTAAGAGAGGCAACAGCTTCATGGATGTGCTGGATGTGATGCAATTGAAAACAGTAAGAGGAAAGTCTCAAAAGAAAGCAGAGAGACATTGACAGGTGGCCAGGATGGAGGTGAGAGCCACATGAGTTTGAAGGTATAGAATCCAGAGAAAAGCTCCCTTGGAACATGTAGGCTGAAAGATGGTGAGTTTGGATTTGGATGTGCTTGCTGGAGGCATGGAGAGAAGAAAGAACAGAGGTAGCAAGTGAGCCAGGGTGCATTTCCACAGCAGGAGGCCAGGCCACATCACTGCTTACAAATATTTTGCGTGCCCACTGATACATGACATTATATTGGGGCCACGCAGAATTCAGATCTGAATATGACACCATCATCTGCATGCCAGGGCCCCTGAAGTCTAGAAAGAGGACGCGTGAGATGGGAACCCATGCATGGAGGGAAGGAGACTTCCCACCGGTGCTCCTTGCTCTGTGTCTGTGCATCAGCCTTTAACCTGCCTGTGTTTTAGCTTCCACTTTTCTGGAGTGAACAGTAAGGGGATGTTAGATGTGATCTGTGTCTGATGAAACCTGGAGCTCTCTAATTTAGAGAATTATTTAAGAGTAGATGCCCACCTATGTATGTTTACAAGCGGGAGACTTTTCAGAGCACTGGACTTGGTCCCTCTTCAGGATGCAGCTAGTTCTCTACTAGGGGCCTGGGCTTGTTGTTTGGACTCTGGCTGGCCCCTGGCCCTCTCCTTTGTTTCTTCGCTGTGACCCTGTTGCTGGCTCAGTGGTGGGGGTGGAACGCGATCTTGTGAGGTACTGCATCTGAAAGCATTTCAAAGGTCATTGCAAATCATACACACATGATTAATAGGAGACTAATGATCTGACTGTGGCTGACAAACTAATGTAATTTAAAGAATACAGATAAAAGTCAAACTAAGCATATTTCTGAATTCTCCTGTATATAAATCTACATCTGCTTATTCTCGCCAGAAATTCATCATTGTCCTTTGATTTGGAATAGACTCTCTCCCTCTGGTTTTGAAAATACCAAGTATGTTTTATTCTTTCCCTAGGGTGACCACAACATCAAAAGTTCATAATTATCTACACAATTAAATACAAACCAAAAGTGTAATTGTGGGCCTTTAGTTTTCTTTCTAGAGTGTTCATCAACTTGATGATCCAAGTAGGATTCAGAATAAGGCAATTAACAATTTATATGAAAATTTTAGTGACAATTCTGGAAATAAAAATTTCTATCAAATGAGTCAAATTTTCTCTTGAGTAAAAGAATATAATTTGGGAAACTTAGAAAATTTGGCAACATAAAATCTTTTCCTCTCTGTATCCTTTTATAAAACAACGGCCTAGGGCCTCCCTTGGTGGCGCAGTGGTTGAGCATTAGGCTGCGAAGCTGCCCTCAGCCTCTGCAGCACAGGTTCCGTCCCCGGCCACAGGCGAGGGTCCCACATGGTGCGCAGACCTCTCCTGCCACACCCACTGCTCCCCTCAGCAGTGTATTTTGTCAGTCTGCCTGTTCTATTCCCCACTCTGGCTCTGGTGAATTCTCTCACCCTCCCATGCTTCTGACTGTACCCAGTGCTTGTATAAATAAATAAAAATAAATCTTAAAAAAAAAAAGGCCTAAAATTTGGGGTGGAATTTACTAAGGAAAAGAAGTCTGGGAGTCATTCATAGGTGAATCACTTCTCTGCCCCGAGAGTGACAGTCTGAAGGCCAGGAGAGGGTCTGCTGGGCCACACATCAGACTTAGCAGCAGGACTGTGATGAGGGACTCATTCTGCATCTGCAAATATCTCCTAGTGAGTGGGAAGAGGGTTGTGTGACTAATTTTAAAGCTGGTCTTATATGTACAAACATGTCAGAATGCCGGCACTGGGCTAGTAGGCTCAGGGAGTGCAGATATTAAGACACTGCATGTCCTCACTTGTATGAAGGTGGCCAGTATTAACTGGGCTGTTGATTGATGGCACAGCCAGTGAGGGCACACTTTCCAGTCACTGGTTGGAAATCATTTTGTTATGTGGGGGGCTCTATTGGTACATGTGCTATAACTCCTGTGTGTGGGAGTATGCATGTGTGTTTGGGTATGCACTTGCATGTACATGTATATGCTCACATGCAGGCCCAGCGAGTACGTGTTGGCAGCTTCAGCATCTCACACAATTACCAGCGCCTCTCAAGCATCATAAAAGAGAAAATACAGTTTCCCAGTGGCACTTACTGTGTGGGAGAATGTGTGTTTAGAACACCAGCGGTATTGTTGTGATTGGATTGGGTCTCAAAGTCACATATTTGTGTTCTGTCATCAGGAGGACAAATTCTAGGACTGCCTTAGAGTTCCAGTCTCCTCACTGATAAAATGGTGCTCACTCCTGCCTCATAAGATCACAGTGAGGGTTAAAGACAATTTATGGAAATTGCTTTGTCAGTCCCTACTATTCACAAAGCTCCTTATGAGAAGCTCCCACCAGGCACTGAACTGAGTAGAATAGCGTGAGGTAGAAGATGCCAGTCTCAGCTAGAACTGAGTTTCCACATTTTGCAGTCATACATAATTATCTATCCATGTAGAATAGCATGCTCTTCTTTACCTTAAGTGTGTGAACTTCTCTGATGTATGAGCAAGAGTGAATCCTCATCAGTTCAGTTTGCCTAGAAGGAAGTAGAATATCTCCACAGTTGTTGTTATGTCTTGCTGTGTAAACTTTTTGCAATTTTTAGGGACTCAAATAGCTAGGACCGGAATTTAAAAGTGAATTTAAATTATACTAGACAAAAAACTAATTCTCTTCAAAAGTGATTAAATTTAGTGTCCAGTGATGTATTATAATATTATTTATATTAAATGCCAATGTGTATAATAGAAAGCATTCTAATAAAATTACGTATTTCAAGGCTTACATTTTGGCTAGCCAAGAATTGTATAAGTCAGCATTTCCTAGTGGTGAGAAAGTTTTTAGATTAATTGTATTCAGTACTGTTAGTTTACCAGTGAAAAGCCTCTGTTCTGTGGCATTCATCCATATACTCAGTGGCCAGCTGTGGCCCATGGAGCTAAAGGAAAAGGTTAAGAAACTGACTTTAGGGGCTTCCCTGGTGGCACAAGGGGACAGCACTATGAAGCTATCCCACAGCCACTGCAACACGAGTTCAATCCTTGGCCAAGGAGCTGACCCACTTGGCACAGCAGGCCTCTCCTATCTCACCCGTTGCTCCCCTCAGTAGTATATTTCAGTCAATCTGCCTGTTCTGCTCCCCACTCTGTCTCTGGGGAATCCTCTTATCCCCACTCCCACATCTCTGGCCTACACCCTAACTCGGTGTGTATAAATAAATAAATTTTTAAAAAAAGAAAAAGAAACTAACTTTAAGTCAAGTCATAGTGAAGCTCCAGATCAGCAAGATCTTAGTGTTAATGTAACATAATCAGAGGATCTTATATTATGTCACATATTATAATAGTCTTTTTTTAAAAATGTAACACCTTAAAGCATCTTTGTTACTCTTCATTGTCTGGGATGGTGCCTATGACACAGCAACTGAGGTTGAAAAGTCGAAAAAAGGGTTAAAGATCAGTAAAGATGCCAAAAGTTAAAAGATCATTGTGAATTCAGTATCACTTCGTTGGCAGCAAACCACTCAGTGCCAGGACCCCGACAAACTAACTGGCAACAGGGCCTGCCGCACCTGCATGTGGCAGCATTCTCCATTAAACTTGAACAATCAAGAAACATTATAAATAGGAGAGAATGGGTTTGTTAGGAAATAATTAAGCTAGTCTTTTCAAGGAGTGGCTTTAGAAGTGTCTCCCAAACTATGTTAACCCATTATCCCAATATTTTAAAAAGGTTTTCCATAGGAAAATAGAGTCTGTATTCAGTAAGTTTGGAAAATACCAGCTAAGTGAAATTTGGTAGTTCTGTTTCCTGCAAGACACCATAACCTTTACTCAGCTAATTCAGTAGTTCATCTGACAAGTTTGATTCAACAACTACACTGTGATTATAACTCTGAGTCCCTAGATGCCACTCTTGGAGGGAAAATTTGTGCATGTCTGTGCGCACAACGTGTGCATGTGTAGTATCTACGATCCTAAAACACAGGCACACCCTGGAAAACTCTGGCCTATAAAACAGAATCAGAACTGGCAAATTTGACCCATTATGAGAGTATGAGAGCAACTGACAAAAAGACTGGCAGAAATGAGGAGCTCTTCTTGAGGTAGGGGGAAACAGTGATTTTTTTCCCCATTCATCGTGTTGGATGAACATTTCTAATCTTCTGTGCATATTTTCTAAGAAAAAACTGAATGACTAGCATGGCTTCTGCCATCACCCCCTAGGAGACACAACACCAGGGAAACAGGTACCCTCCCCTAAGAACTTCAGTGGTGATGGTGACTCAGGAGTAGCCTGAGCCACTTTTGCTGAAGGGTTTCTCACAGATCTGGAAAGCTTTAGGCTACTGCCCCTGCAATATTTCACACACCTGAAGTCCCTCCAGACACCCTGTGTGATATAGTACCTTGAGCTCAGATCTCCGGGAATTATAGATTTATATCACTGTGCTGCTTTTTCAGTTGACTTAGAAGGGCTAGCAGTCACAGATTAGAAACTAAATAATGGTTTTGAGCAATAAGATATTTAAAAAAAAATAATGCTTTCTTTAAACTCTTACTGTATCTCTCAAATGGAATCACAACCCAGCTTTCTTTTCCTTCTTTATTGCAGTTACATATGGGGCTGATGGCTTTAGGGATTTTCATGCAATAATTCCCAAATCTTTCTCTCGTAAGTATATGCTTTGTTTCTAGAAAAATGGAGGTGTGGATTCATTTCATGCTCAGCTTCCACAGTGTAAATATTTTGAATGCGTGTGTGTTTCTTCACCACCTTCCTTCATGCTTGAAGAATGAGGTAGATGAAATGCTGACCATTCTGTTCATTAAACCTTCATTGCGGGGGGGCAGCGCATGTACAATAAAGTAACATACAAGAAGGTTCTAGACTTTTGAAAGATGTAGTGTTGGGTGTGCCTTCTGTGGTGACAGTGGAGTAATGAAAGGATAGAAGTAATAGTGGAAATAATAGAAGTAACAATGAAATAATACTGTTAAATAGTCTTATGATGATGATTATCTTCTTTGTACTGACTATGATGATAAAATGCCCAGGCAGTCTGTCACCATTAAACAGCATGGCATGTTTTGAAGATAAGTTTTACAATTTGTAGGACAGGAGAAAGATGCATGTTCTCTTTCTGTTGCTCTGAAGTATTAATTTCAGATCCTGGAAGAGAAAAATCACAGGCTTCAAGGACATTAGTCCGTGGTGACTGCTGCCTGAGCAAACACATTTAGTATTTCATGCATGGGGGATCTTCCTGATCTGAGCCTTTAAACTCAAAGCAGGTGCTAATTTCATTTTTCTTTTTTAGGTGTTGAAAGATGATAAATGATAGATATATTTGGACAATATTCTTAAAATAGTATTTTAAGGAATGGAGAGTGCTTTTCAAAAATGTACAGATAAATTTTAAAGTGATATAAGTTGGTAACCGCCTTAGGACTTAAGACTTCAGAGGCTGTATTAGTCAATTTTCTAGTATTAAAAAGCAACATCAGAAAACAGGTCATGCCAGTTAATGCTGTAACAATTAGTAATACATGCTCTAATGTAAAAGGTGATAGTAACAGTTAAAGATAGGTTTCTGACATCCTGGTTATCAAAACTCTGGAGTCTAATGGATTTAGAATAACAACCTACATGACTGTTGTTCCTGCATGTAAAAGTTATAGACATCTTTCTCTTACCAGTGATCCATTGATTCAACTTTAAAGCAATATATATTAGGTTATATAGGTGTGTGTGTGTGTGTGTATATATATATATATATATATATATATGTTTATATATGTGTATGCATGCTTATATGACTAAACATTAAGGAAGTATGACAGAGAAATATTCATTTTGAAATGAGCAATCACTTCGTTAAAGTATTGAGAAATCAGTTTCACTTAAGACCAAGAAGTACATTCTGAGACATCTTTCATTAAATCTGAAGAAAATTTTAGCTCAAATACATTGTCATGTTGAAACAAGTCCTTTGGTGAAGACTTCAGTATGTGAAAAATTGCTGCACACAAGCACATGATACTTGTATCTTTCATAAGGCAGATGATACATGTTTTGGTACACTGCCTGTCTATATGTTTATATAAATGGTTATCGTGTTATTAATATCTCTACCCACCACCACATACCCAGATGAATGTTGATCATGACTTCTCCACCTAACAGCAACCAAACTGTTCTGAGCCAACATCACCACCTAGTGGTCATGGTGGAGAATTGCCCTCCTTACCACTCAACTTGGTCATCTTGAAAATGAACCAACCACCTCCTCTATTCCCAGTGTGCGTATCTAGTTCCTTGAGAAAAATGTACATATGCTTGTAATTCATTCATTTTTTTTCATACTCTTCCACTTGCCTTTCCATGATTTTATTCCATTCAAAGTCCTAAAACATCAAGCAAGGAGAAAAATATTTTTAATCGTATCTTGACAAGAAAAAAAAAACACATTTTAAATTGAATAAATTATAGTAAATGGTTTCATTAACTTATAAAGACTTAAAAGTTTTCAAAAACTGTTCTATAGTCAGTATGAAAACCTCTAAATAGCTCCTCTTCATCTCAAAATTTTTATTCTGCTTATGCAGGGTATGTCTCAAATATCTTTATTCCATTTGATTTTACTTGCTAGTTACCAGTACTACAGGAATATTTCTGTCTCTTATTTTTTTTTTCATTTAAAATATTCACCATTTCTAGTGTATATGGTCTAAACTCGTATCACTGTGACAAATCCAGAGTATCTTTCCAATAGGAAAATGCAGCCTGAGAAAATGTATTTTACCAGTAAATATAAAGACACATTGTAAAAAGGAAAGAAAAATGAAGAGGAAGCAAAACCCATTTGTAAGGTGGGGACTGCCAGTATACATTATACCTATGCATTAAAATGTTTTAATCATTCATGAGCACATGCAATGCTTGGCAGCCGACTGACACCCCTTGGCCCCTCTGACCTCTGAGTAACCTACATTCTCCACATTTATCCATGCTAAGCTGTTCTATATGCTGAAGTCAACCTTCTGGTGTTGGGGGTCTCTCTGGGACAGTTGTGTTACCAGCAACATCAAATCCCATTAAATCAGGAAGCAGATTTTAACTTTTTGTCATTTTGGTAGCACCTGAGAAGTATAGCAGCTTTTGATTCTGGATTAGAAGGCATCCACTCTTAATATAAGCCACATTTATTAAATAATAAAATTGGGCTTCTGTCCATTAACTCTCAGCAGTCAATGAAAGAGCTATGGGGCAGAGCCGAGTGTCAGAGTAACAAAACACACAGGCTCCACTTCATGTTCTATATTTAATCAGTTCAATTCAGAACCTTACTGAGTTCAACATTTTTCTAAGTGGTGGGGGCATAAAGTTACAAAATATTTATAAGTATCCCGATATTCAAGGAGAACATAACATTTCATAAAAGCAATACCACAGTGAGGCAGTTCCTGCTGCGAGGCAGTGGAACAGATTGGGTTCTTTAGGAATATGTAGGTTCTACACTGTCAACATAAATCTTTGGTAGCTTCCCATAGAGACTCATCTGTGGGATGGACCAAAGTCCAATAAAAACAAATTAAAAAGAGATTGACTAGTTCATAGAATTGATTTTGGGGTGGGTCTGATCTGTACTATTCAAGGAGAGGCAATTTTGAAGAAAGTAGGAGTCATCACATGACATTCTCAACCGAATAAAACATGGGTCTAGCATATCCCTTGGGTGGGGTGTCTGAACATGAAACTGCCATGAAATGAACAGCTAAAGTGAATTCCCACACCCATCCTTCGACTCCATCATTAGTTGAAACAACTGCTAGGGCCATTGCTTGTGCAGGACCGTGCAATTCAAAATAACAGAACAAGAAGCATGCAAACTTAGTGAGCCTGCGCATGTACCCCACCATCACAAAGCAAACTCTACTTGGTACTTTCCTCCATAGAGAAAGAGGCAGAGATACAGGACCAGGTCCCCCCATCAAGTGCCACTTGGGTAAAAGGGAGCCTGCAGGAGTAGCCACGGTGCTCCAAGCATCACCCTCCACCTGCCCGTGCTTTGTGGAGGCCTCCTAGGGCTGAGTCTGCCCTCTTGGAGGAAACTGAGTGCTTCTTCACCTCTCTTCTGTGCCATCCTGTTTGTCCCACATTCCAAGGGAGACCCTCCTGTGCAACCTCTCTGCACCAGGGTCTATTTCCAGCAAGTACAGTGCCATTGAAGTCCTCTAGGAACTGATCTCAGTCCCCACCAATGTTTTTCCCTCAACCCACACCCCAGACTCTGCTTGCTCTTTTAAAAGGTGGCATGTGGCCTGGCTAGTACAAGGGACTCAGATTTCAGTCAAGTGGGACTCATACTGCCTTTTATGTTTTTCCTTTTTCTGGCCACATCACTACTTGAGCTTACTGTGAGCTAAACCCCAAAAGCTAAGACCCCTCCATCTGAACTTGTGTTTCTTGGCTGTTAATTTCATTTAAGTGGGTCTTATTTAGATCTGTTAGATTTTGACTTTGAGATCTGCTCTGTTTAAGACTGTTTCATGTCCTGATTTCTATCATCTGAGAAAAAAAAAAAACAAAACAGCATGTTATCTGTGCTCTCTTTCCAGCCAGATGAGAGAGCCTCCTCCTTAGTGGGCAGCAGTCCCTCCAGTTCTCCATACAACCAGCATCTAATTTGCATTTGTCCACAAAATGTGAAAACCTTTCCCCATATTTAAGGATAATTCCCACAGGCTGGCATCCTACATGCCCAGGCTGGCAGAGTTGTCCACTTGATCTCACCAGGACCCCCACCATCATTCTCACCCTCTCTTAAAGACCCTTCCTGTCATCCTGAGGCTCACAATTTGTTCCCAGAGACCACCAAGCTTCCAGCTCTAAAACATTGGGCTCTTGCCATCTAACTCCTACTTTTAAATGTATTTGGCCTTTGCTTCTACAGAGCCCTCTGTCAAGTTCCCATGATTTAGATTGGCTTCCTTGACCCTGCCTCAGTGTTGTGGGATAATGTCTGCATACTTTTTTCAAAAACCTAGAACATAACAGTATCCTGGACTTGGTTCTTTGAAATTTGCTTCTTCCAGTTCTAACATACCTACCTAATATTGTACCTGCATTTTCATGGTAAATTATAATAGACTTGTGTGATTTAGAACACCCCCCCTTTTTGTGGCTCTATTACAGTTCTCAGAGAAAATATCATAGGCACAATTGTGACAGAGTCCTGCCCTTGAAAACCACTAGTCAAATGAATGACTGCTATCAAGTCTCCTGGTATGAGGGCCTTTGTGGTGTTTGAGGTGACCACTGCCCCATACTTTCTCTGAAACTGCCTCTGTCCCTGTCCCTTCTGATATGGCTTGACCTCTGCAAGCTGTTGCTATACTGGAGAGTGTTAGACATCAGAAACCTCAGGGCTGTCCCCTGCTCTCCTGCTCTTGCTCCTGTTCCCTACCACACAAGCCACATAAAGCGTGCTGAAAAACTACCCTTCCTCTTAATAATGATGAACAAGTGAGAGTTTCTGGCAGGTGTCAATGTACCACACATGGACTTGTGTCTTTTGGAAAACAAGAATTTACTAGCTAGTAACTGTGAATTTATTAAATGAATCAAGTGAAGGAACACACTGAGGGGATTATCCCCTTGCTGTTCATCTGTGTGGTTTCCTTCTCTTGCCACGGGGGTCCCCAGTCTGTCCTCTGTACCACAGTCCTGTGTCTCAGCTCCAGTGGTTGGAGGACTTGCCACACAACAGTAATTCATTCCACCATGTTCAAGAATGCCACCTCACTCTCAAAACCACAAGATGGGTGATTAAAAATAATCCCCAGTGATGAAGTTCAGAGAGCTTTGAAACTTTATTGTCAGTGCTTCCAGAGCATTCCAGTGCAGAACTTGGTGAACAGTTAGGCTCTAGGAAATTAGCTTCCACTCAAAAATACCAAGGCCATGGCCCTGAGAGTGCTGATTGCAGACCCCAGAGTTCAGAGAGTGCCCTGGCCAGATGGCACCCCAACATCCCTTCCTGACTTGTCATTTACACTAGTGGGCCAGCAGGATTTGAACCCCCTTGTCCCTGATGGCTGGGAGAGATTGCAGGAGGTTACTGAGAGGCAGGGTCCTTCTGAGTCTCTGGTCCTTAGAACCCTGTGGGAAGCACATTTGGAGAATCCCCCCATACCTGATTCCCCAGAATGCTCTTGCATGATCCTGGGGCCTGATGGGAAGAGATACTCCCTCACTTCTGGGATCTCAGAGTCCACAGTGAGGACTGTGGCCCATGTTCCAGCTCATTATCCCACTCACTTACTCTTCATAAATCTTTTGTCCAACAAGTGAATGGAAATGTCCTCACAGTATAGCAGTTAGGCATGCAGGTGCTGGAACAGGCTGCCAGTTGGTAGCTCTGTAAACCTAAGGCAAGATGTTCAGCCTCTCTGTGCCTGAGATTCTCCATCTGTCAGGACAATAGGAGTACCTCCCTTATAGAGGTGCTGAGCATTAAATACCACAGTGTGAATAAAATGCCATGTGCCTGACTCCTGCTTAGGTGCCATTAATGTCACTAGGGTAAGACTGAGCACCCTCCACCCAAGGCTCTGTCAGGATGCACTTCCACTTACCATGCTAAGTCACTGTCCTAAACTAGCTTCGACTCTACACTTCAAACTCTACACTCCCAAATCAAAAAGAATGCATTGAATAAGAATAAAGTGTTACTAATTTATTATTGAAAGCAGTTGTTCTCAGGCTTGACTGAACATCAACATTCCCTGGAGAACTCAACGAAACAAGTTTGGTGAGCCCACCCCAGAGTTAGTATTTCAGCAGGTCTGCTGTAATGGAGTTTGCTCTTCTAACAAGTTCTCTGTGATACTGATGCTACAGGTCCAGGGACCACATGTGAGAGCCACCAATTCAAAAAATTGATCAAGCATTTTGTAGTGGTGACTGTCATCTGCCTCACTGATGATCTTACTTGGTGGAATTTCTCTGTCCACCCTTCATCTGTAGACAGTGTGATGGGAAAGTCATGACTGTCAGCATCACTTCTGTCCCCAGTGTTGGATTTGTCCATTTACCATCAGTTGGTGTTTCAGAGGAGTGCAAGCTAAATGTCTCCTGTTTTCTTTACCAAGAAAAAAATATGTGAATGAGATAAATAATTGCCCTCAATGTGACTTAAAGGAAATAGTAGTGCAGACTAAATGGTGGTTATTGACTTTTTCAACACCAGCCTTTCACCTCCCACACATCTTTATCTTTGAAATGCTGTTCTAGCGCTCTTGCATTCATACACTATCACAATCTACTCTTTAGCAGTTGGAAGGAATGTGACAAATCATATAGCAAATCAACTTTAGGACACTGGTTTCATTATCATCGTGAAATTAAAAGGTGTTAGAATGATCATATAACAAAGAAACAAAAAAAAAATTTCAAGAAATCTGTAATGTGATGAGAAATCTAAGCATGTGTCTGCTAGGTTTTATACCAAAGCTCATTATTACATGAAAAACAGGAAGGTCTCATTTGTAAGTAAGAGAACTTTGTCAGGTTCCATAACCACTTACAAGGGATTTTGCCAAGTAAAGCCACACAGCATTGGGAGTTAGATGATATAGTCAGTGCTCACCTCTGGTGTAAGATTGTCATCTGGAGGACAGGGAGCAGGCTCCACCTGCAGTCACTCCAGAGACACCACAAGCCTGTGACTGTGCAGCCAGTGACTGTCCCCTGTGTAGCGCAGAGGCCTCTCATGTTAACATGAGATTTTGTAAGTAGCGTCTTCATGCATTCTTAGACACTGCCATCTGGATCTATCCATGCCAGGCAACTTGTTCCAAGCCTGTCATACCTTCCACCATATGCCCTGAGAGCCAGGGGAAACCTAAACATCTGAATCTCAGGGCTGCTGTCCCCATGATATAAGCTGCTAAGAACTTCTGTTTAGGGGCTCTTCACTTGCTCTTGGTTGTCTTTTTGCTGCTGTGTTGTTTTGTTTTTTTTTTTGTTTTTTTGCGATGACACTGAGTGGCACCCTGTATTGTTTCTTTCAGCCAGTAATGTTAAAGTAGAGACTCAGAGTGATGAAGAGAATGGGCGTGCCTGTGAAATGAATGGGGAAGAATGTGCAGAGGATTTACGAATGCTTGATGCCTCAGGAGAGAAAATGAATGGCTCCCACGGTGGCCAAGGCAGCAAAGCTTTGTCAGGAGCTGGAGGCATCCGACTTCCTAACGGCAAACTAAAGTGTGATATCTGTGGGATCATTTGCATCGGTCCCAATGTGCTCATGGTCCACAAAAGAAGCCACACTGGTAAGGCCTGGTGTAGTTCCCCCTTTAGTGGACTGGAAAAGGTTGTGGGGTGTTGCAGGAGGAAAATATTGTGTCTTAGTTGATGTTCTGAGCATGTTTCAGGTGGACTAGCAGTACAGCAGTGACTCCAAGTCCTAGCTAAGTGTAGAGTGCTTGTTCTAGAACAATAGAGTAAAGAAAGGACTTCTAAAATCCACCAGTTCAGCCTTAAAGATTAAAGCAATAAACAGAAAGGAAAAGTTAACGGCCTCATGTGCAAATCCCATCCAGGGCCTGACGTACAGCAGAGCTGCATCAGTAGGTGGCATGTGCTCAGTAGCCTACCCTTCAGGAAGTAAAATAAAAGAAACACAAAAAGAGATCGATACTCGACAACTTGATCCTCACATTTTCCATTGAGAAACTCTGAGTAAAACATGTACTTTCTCCTTTTTTTGTATTCAGACTAACAGGGCTTGACTTTTAGAAACATTAGTAAATGATGGAGTGACAGCAATATTTAGTCTTTTGGAAAAAGTTTAAAGTAAGTTTTCACATGGCTTACTCTCCAAAAGGTAAGACTTTAAATAAGATTTGATTACTACTAGTTTTCATCGCAATTGGTATAGAATTTAATACCAAAACCCTTGTCTTATTGGGCAGTGTATCAGGGGTTTTGAAAACTTAAAAGAATATACTATCCTGTGTCCAAAAGTGATAGTGTCCGATGACTTTGCCCAAACTCTCAAGATGTTTCACAATGGGGGGTGGTGTGGGGAAAGAGGGACTTATTTCTGCCACCCCATGTATTTGGTCCTAGCGATTAACCAATCACATACTTTTCCACCAAAACTATTGAGTCACTGCCACTGGCACTAAACAATCTTTGAAGTAAAATATTAATGAGATGCATTTTGCCATTAAATATATGCATGAGGTGCCTTTTGAATTGAACAGAAACTTTACTCTTCTGCCTAGAGGTGAACAAAACAATAAATTCACTGAGAGTTTGAACATAGCACATGGAAACCCTGAGCCATCAGTCCCTAGAGAGTGGCACGGGAGTCTCAGTAAACCCAGTGTCTGCCACCACACTTCACAGGAAAAACAAGATGGAAATCATACTGTGACATTTTGTAAGATGTCTCAGGAAAGAGACAATGAAGACTTGGAAATCACTGCCCTCTGTGATTCTTATATGCAGCCAAACAGATACATGTTTATCAAAAATGAAATTTGTTGAGCTTTTAAAAAACTTTGTTAGGAAATGCAGATCTTTGTGGAATTGTAATTTTTATATTTGAATAAGAGCTGTTGCCAAAATGAGGTAATACATCTGGAAAACTGTAAAATGTTTATTTTCAATAAGAATTCATTTTCAGTAAAAACATCATTTCTCACTTATACAATTAAGCAAGTTTTACTTTTCCCTTCATCCTAAAGTCATCCAGTGCAATAGACCCATCATATCCAGCCCTCAGTAAAGCTTGCAAGGGAATAGTCACACTCTCCCCTTCCATAATGAGGTGGAAATTAAAATGAAGGTAGGATACCTTGTGATGGACACTTTACAGAATATGCCAGGACCCATGTTAATACATTCCTGATGGAGGAAAAGACCTCACAAATGAATTACTTTCCTGCTAATTCATGTAAAGCCTGACTATACAGTGAATATTCTCTTAAATAAATATTTGATAAATGAATCAAATTCTGGCATACTAAATTGCCAAAATATAATGACTGCCTGCTCTGATAAAAAGAATAATTACATTTAATGAATAAACCTGCTAAGCACAGATATGCAGAGTGGAACCTGCAGTTTGCTGCCCACTTCTCCCCACAAGTATCAGCCAACATGTTGAGTCCTTCATTGCAGAGCAAGTAAATTACAGAAATAAGGACATACATGCAATCACTTTTATAGTTCCTTCCTTGATTTTTATATTTTCAAAAACAAAACACCTGAAACAGTGAACTCACAGGCTGTCTTCCTAATGTGTCTTCACTTGAATAAAAGAAAAGGTCACAGGTAGAAACAGAAATAAATACATTGGCCAACCAGGGTAAATAACTGGACATGCTGGAAAGGTTTTCAGTTTCCTGGGATCTGAGAGGAAGAGGTTAGGAAAGACATGTTTTGCTTCACCACCAACCTCACCCTGAATTCTCTAAGTTTAAAATGTTTCTACAGCGATGCTTTCCAGACTTTATGGGGCAAATAAGTCACTCAAGGATCCTGTAAAAATGCAAATTCTAATTCAGAGAGATCCACAGCATCTGCTGAAGGTGGGACTCATGATTGAATAACCAACTCTTTAAACAGTGTCACTGCAGAGTGCTCTTCAAGATTTTTCCCTGGAAGGTAGAGCTTGCTCCTGCCAGTTTCCAGTTCATCTGGGTGCTGACACTGCCTTTACCTCTACCTTTGCTCATGTCACCACCTCAATGAGTTACCATTGGTGCCATTTTCTTAATGGCTCATTGACACCACCACCTCCTTAGCTTTGCTGTTCAATTCCATACTTGAACTCAAGGGTAACAGTAATACCTTCCCCACTGACTTAATGCTGCATATTTGCATGGTGGGGTTTTCCTTGCACTCCAAGCTTCTTTCACACCACTCTTCCCTCTGAATTTTACATTAAGTCAGATTACATTAATGTAATCTTACATTAATCTTACATTATTCTAAAGGATGGATTTTTTTTTTAAATAAAGGTCAAGAAAAGTGTCTCAAGTTATGGTCATTCTGTACTGTCCTGTACAGAATGCAGGATGACTGACTCCATGCAGGATGCAGTCACCTTTGTTCAAAAGCAGCAGAAGCATGGAATACTCTATTCATTATAGTATTTCTCCAAGGTACCGTTTCAATAGGTCTCGGCCAATTCTTGCAATTCAGGTATTTTTTTTTAAATTCACCTTCTTCTGAAAACTCACCAATTTTATGATGTAGACATCCATGAAGACTTAACTTTTTTACCCAATTAAGTTATTAAAAGGGATTTGAATATTCTTAAAGAGCCTTCCTGAAACAACAGATCATTAGTCACTGGGATTTAAAACTGAATTTTGAATTAATCATAATTAAAGTCCTCATGCCACTTAAATAAAAGGAAATAGAACCTTGGTAAAACTTGATTTTACTTAGTTATAAAAAACAAGCATTGACCTGTAGGAAGCTAACAACTGACCAACAGAAGAACCCAAATAGCTTGGGCTGGGCTCTGTCCTCAGCTCTGGCCCGTGCTCCCTCTCCTATAAATCCCTCCAAAAGGAAACCACCTTGATTGGAGCTCTGTTGTCACTTCAGCGAGTATCTCTTCCAGTTCCCTTGCCCTGTATTACATATTCAGAAACAAATAAAATTCCGAGAACATTTGCTTGCTGTATTCAGAGACCAGCACAGCAGGATACCTAAACTGTTGACTCAAGTTAGAGGACTGATTTCACTCTTGAAACACTCATCTTTCTCTCTTTCCTGGCCTGTTCTTCAGGAGCGGAAGGGAGACATGACTGTAACAGCCTGGTCCTTTCTACCCTTGCCGACTCATGCTACTGCAGAGACATTGGCTGGACTGCAAGTTCCCACCTGGGTTTTCCCCTCAACCCCCTGGCCTCAGAGGAAGCAGGGAGCCCCAGCTCTCACAGTGTAAGGTTGGGTCTCTAGCTTTGAGTCATACCGTACACATCTGTGTCACTAGGCATGTCCCACATCCTTACCATAAGCATTTTTAGGACATGAGCTTGCCCAGCTGACCCACCATCCTGAAGGTCTACCCTGTCCAAGGAGAGCCTGGCCGGAGGCACACTCTGTTTCACCCCCACAGAGCTCTGCACACAGCCTCTGCTCTACTTCCCTTTTAACTCTTGTTCCCTTAGAGTACACACACTGTCACACACATTTGTGCCATGAAGGCCCAGAATGCTTCTAATATACAATTAAAAGTTCTCTCTATTGGACATTAACATAGATGGCTACCATCTATTTTAATTTTTCATCTAATGTTTGTAATGCAAAGATTTAGTTAGTTTTGTCTCACCATGCCACCTGCTTGACTTTAAAACCCTTCTCTGTTTGGCCAGATGTAGAATCAGGAAAATACTGAATATATCCTGGCTGATGTCAGGACCCCTCCTTTTGGTCTGTAACTGAATATCTTTGTAAATTAGTTTCAGCTTTTACAGCAGCATATCTGTCCTGTGAACTTGAAAACAAAACAAAAAAAATCAAGTAATTCAGGTTCCAATATAGACTTTTTAATTTAATTGGATGTAGATTTTAGTAGAACCAAATATAGTTCTGCTTAATAGCTTTTGATTAGTGCTGTCTTATTTGCCAAAATCATGTTCATCAATTGGGAAAATTATGAAATGTGCATTTTAACACATTCATCATTCCTAAGAAAAATTGTTACTAGGAAATGCATTTTCATGGTATCTTAGCACCAGAGATTGTAGTCACGTAGATATTTTCCTTAAAAATGCAGGTTTATTTTCAAAAAAGCTCCTTAAAAAAAGAGCTTTAATATTTACTTAAACATGACAAATGTATCACTCTTTTACATGAGACTTCAGTAAACTGTTTATCAATTCAGTCTAAGCCCAGTGACTACTCAATAGAATATTTCTTTTTCTCAGATACCTGTTTATCCCCTTATCTATATCCAAATATAGAGACATGTGCTGCCACAGACAGCAGAGGTTCAAATGATTTCTTAGACATAAATCCAATAACACTACTCTAGAAAGAATTCCTAACAATGTCTAAATTGCAGCTCTTAGGATACTTGTCCTGACACTAAAACTTGTCTCCTATAGCTGTAGACAAATAATATTTAAAGTTTTTAGGATTTATGACAGCAAAAAACAAAAAGCAGGAGATCTCAATGCAGGTCTGATTCTTATACCCTAGGAGACCAGGGACTGTTCTTTGGATGGGGGAGCGTGGCACTTCCTTCAGTTTCTTACCTTCCCACTTTATTCAATCAATACCTCCCCTCCCCCCACACCCACCCTTCTCTCCCTCTCCTTTCTCCACCCCTCCCTCTCCCTCTCCGCTTCCCTCTCTCTCCCTCACAATCTCTCTGTCTGTCTCTTTCCTGATTTGCCTGCTTAGGGACAGACAGGTAATGGAGAAGAAATTGAAAGGGAAAATACAGGGAAAATGTAAATGAAAAGAAGTTATTATAACTGTTATAATGAAGTGCCTTTCATTTAAATATAAGAATGTAACGCTGAAATGAACTTGTGATCCTGAAATGCATTTTTAATGAGTTTCCTTTTTATTTTGCTGCTTCAGTGGCATATTTTAAAGACCCTTTGAAAAAAGCCACATTAAAAACCCCACCAAATGCCACAACACGCAAAATTGGATATTGGTTTATTCCAAAACTGCTGATCAGGAAGAGTGGCTCTTCATCACAAAATGTTGCAGTCACTTTATTTAAATGAGTTTGAATTTGCATTGTGATGTGCCATTCTGATTTAGGAAAAAAAAATTAGATTTTCAGATCAAATTGACCCAACCAGTGAAGCGTTAAGGAGCTGGCAGGTTTAGTCTGAAAGCCTCATGTTCTATCAAACCTGCAGCCGGTGGAAGTCACCGGCCCCCGTGGGAAACAACTTTCTCGCCTGTGTCCTCCTCTTGTCCCCTGCGCTGAGTTTTGTTCTCAGAGACTCTGCCTCTCCTCTTCACAGGAGAACGGCCTTTCCAGTGCAACCAGTGTGGGGCTTCTTTCACTCAGAAAGGCAACCTGCTCCGGCACATCAAGTTACATTCTGGAGAGAAGCCTTTCAAGTGCCACCTCTGCAACTACGCGTGCCGCCGGCGGGACGCCCTCACCGGCCACCTGAGGACACACTCCGGTAGGTCCTTCGTGCACAGGCCAGCATTCGAGAGACTCCAAGGTCATGTGGGGTGCCCTGGCCCTTGTGTGGTATGTTTGGGGAGTCTCCTGATGGCTAACCTGGTCCCAGGGCACACCCTCCATCAGTCACTGGCCATCCCTGACTTTGACATCAGTGCCTCCCTGCCCTGTATTTTCTGATTTCCCAATGAACCAGAGGAAGTGGCAGGTGAAATCACACACACACACACACACACACACTCTCTCTCTCTCTCTCTCTCTCTCTCTCTCTCTCTCTCTCTCCTGCGATCTCACCTCAGGTATGTAGAATATTTCAAAAGGGCCTCCCCATCCCATTTAAGTGGGAAATTTTTAGCATTATACTGCTAACACACCAAAAGTTTCCAAATACATTTATTTATGTTAATGTTAAGCCACATTTAATACTGTTATGTATTCAACAGCTGTGATGATTAGGGTAGTTTTCTCTGCAAAGGAGGCAGACAAGTCAATCTGTGACCTGTTCCCAGAAATTCCTGCCCCAGTAGGCCTGAGTATAACTGTCCCTCCAGAATCCAAATGAGGATTGGAGAAGTCAGTGTAGAGCTGTTACCACTGCATTCCAAATAATCCAGAGTCTCAGTCTCATAATTAGCTTGGATGTGCAGCAATTCTAGAAGCGCTCCTCACTGATAAACCCAAATACACCATTGCTTAGATGAGATCTTCTATGTCCTGACAGTCTTTCCTCAGTATTTCATTACTCAGAAGCCCATAATCTTACAGGAATTTTTTTTTTATGTGTAAAAGAACCTGGGTGTAGGTCAGAGGTGCAGGGAGTGAGAGGATTCACCGGAGACAGAGAGGGGAGCAGAACAGGCAGATCTACTGAAATATACTGCTGAGGGGAGCATCGGGTGAGACAGGAGAGGTCTGCAGCACCATGTGGGTTGCTCCCTGTCCAGAGATCAAACACAGGCAGTAACAGTGATAGTGCTCCAATTAATCCCTATGCCACCGGGAGGCCCTTACAGGAATCTTAAGAGAAGAAAGTTTAAACATGATGCTCAGACATACACATCACCCAGCAGGGATATTTGACTTGGCACCTGTGGAGGACACCAGGGAGAGATTGATGGGGCCCTTGTCCCTGCCCTTGGAGAGCTCACTGTCCACACTGTTCCTCAGGGACTGCTCTGAGCACATGGTGGAAGAGAAAGGTGATGCAGACCTCCTCCCACATCTCCAGAGTAGCAGATGGGAGGCACCTCTTATGAGGAGGTGGGCTGCTCCGACCTTGGGGAAAGGTTCATCTGCACTCAGATCACTTTGTTCCCAGATGCCATGAGTGTAGATAATGTCAGGGTTTTTAGAGGCCTCTTCCCATACCCATTGACTGATCATCCAAGGGAATTCGTTCCCTGGTGGGGGAGACTGGCACACAGTAGCTGAGCAACCACGTGTCACAGTATCATGACAGTGTCAGAGAGGGCACAGGGAGGCAATCATCAGTCTCCAGAATGGGAGGCTTCAGGAGAGACCTCCATTACAAAGTGTGCTGGTGTCCATGCTGAAAGGTGAGTTTCTCAAGTTTACCTTCAGAGAAGTTCCAAGTGAGTGTGTAATTCTGTAAATGATCCTAGACAAGGGTGAGGAACACACTTAAGCAAGAGCTGTGTGAAACTTGGACTTTCTCCTGCAAGTGGCACCTGCAAGAAATCAGTCAAGAGGCAGGTGGGAGAGGAGTAGCAGGGCCTTTGGAGTACTAGGTCCCTCATAGATTTGACCAGGCCATCTCCTCTGCATTCTATCACTTTCCTAAGAGTCAACATGTAAAAGCCTCCCCCAAATTCTCCTAATTTGAAAACTGCCATGATTTGGGTGGGCTTCTTAAAATCTTCCCAGAAAGAAGCCATGCAAAACCAAGGAGTTGCTCCTTCCACAGAGCAAACAAGTCAGCAGGGGTGACTGTGGGGCCAATGCCACCCCCTCCCTATCGGGGACAGGGCATGTTCATGCTGGGATGACTTTGCTGCATTGACAGGGAGAATAGGTGACTCCCCCAGGGTGGGACAATGACAACATGTTTATTATTTTTTAATGTTTACATTATTATTTTTTTAATGTTTAATGTTTACATGTGTCAGTAATGAGAGGCAGATGTATTGTCCCACTTAGAGATTAAGGTCGTGTTGAAACTAAATGACAAGATTTGTGTAGTTGTCAGCTGTGACCACCACACAGGCTGTGTGAAGGGCCTAACAGATTATGTGCAATGACAGTGACACTGCATTAGGGTTGGGTCGATGTACATATTCCCATATAAGTGGAAAACATAATGACTCACCCTTTGCTTGATACCAACTATATCATCGACATGCCCAGATCACTCTACCTTGCAGCAGAAATGTCTCCTGCATTTTCAGTCCTTAAAACTTAAGTGACTACAAGCCTTTCTCTTTTCTTTCCTACTGTGAAGATTTGAACATCTAGTGCAGTCTTTCGTGTAATTCTGACTTCTGCAGTCTTTAGGTATCTTGCTCTGTGAATAGCTAGTTACTCAAGTAATTATATATAACAGAAGGCAAACTTTGGACAGTTTATGTCTAATATGGATCCACCAATGAACACATGGGTAGTGAGAAAAACATCATTGAGCCAGGGTGATAGTGAGTCTGCTGAAAAATATTTCATGTCTGAAAGTGCAAGACAAGTACCTCTTGGGAAAAAAAAAAAAAAAACAATGACTTCAGTTCTACAGGATGATTTCTCTAGAATGAAATGAAGACAAGTCTTATTAGCAAATGCCAATGTGCTCGCCTTTTCTTCTACAGCAGGATAGTCCACATCCCACTAAAAAGCATGACCAACCTCACCTTTTCCCTAGCAGCTGGTGATGGCCTGAGGTTCCAAAGATCAACATGGTAGAGGTGTTATAGCTGTGGAATTTATCCTATACTGATAACAAGAGGTGTTTGGGTAGTCTGGGTAAAGCAACTGCTGGGTAAGATTCCTACTTAAAGCTTCCTCTAGCAAGCTGAGCTAGATACTTTGTTTCCTAAGGAATATCAGACTATGTTTCAAGTTATAATTCAGTTCCATTGCTTACAGTTAACATATTTCTTACATATTGCTTACAGTTAATATGTCCCAGAGTGAAAATCAGTTATACTAAAAAACAGATATTTGCCAAAGTTCAAACATTACCAGGAAAGGGCTTTGAGTATTTCTGTATTCCATTAATTACTAAAGGCAGTATTCAATAAGATATGCAAATTTTGGTAACTGTATATTTCAACATCATTTCCTGGCATGGTTACACACTTTCTACAGATTTCTCCCATAGAAAATGTTCTAGTTGTCAAATGTTTGTTTTTCATCTAAGTCTTCTCTTCACCTAAGAAAGAGATTTGACCAATATAATTGGTTTAAACATTTTAACATCATTCCTATTTGGATGGTATTGAAATATGTGAAATCTAACAACATGAGAAGAAAGAATATTCTGGTCTTATGGTATAAATGCAGATTATATAAGTAATTGAAAATATTTTATTCATCTTGTTAGGGGGGAAGTATGTCCTGAGATAATCTCATACAGGCTTTGTGGACTCCACCCCCACTCCAGACTAAAGCCATCAGGACATTGGGAAAGACAAATCCCATCACCACCAAGGGGAGGGTGGCTGGGACCTGAGGGTGGAGTTGGGCAGCCAGGTTGGATATAAAAACCAGACACGTGGGCCTTGCTCGCTCTCTGGCTCGCCATCGCTCGCCTCCTGGCTTCACCGCTCCTGGCTGGCGGCCAACTCTGAGAGCGCCATTTTGGGATTCCTGATCGGCGGATCGGGTAGGACTCATTTAAAACTTTGTCTCCCACTTTTCTCCCAGAGCTGTACATTTCCTCATTTCCCTTTCCCTTGTAAATAAACCTTTTATTAACCTTTCACGTGTGCCTGCAGTAGAGCATTGATAAGTCCTTTTAAGCGCGCGGGTGAGGACCCACAGTCAGGCACCCCGTTTTGTATCGGGGTTGCTCTACAACAATCTCATCTCTGAAAATTCTCCCTCTTAAAGTCTTTAAACTTGAGCATGCTGTGAATTTAAGTTGTCCTTCGTTTCCTAAAACTCCACTTAAGAAAATTCAGGAAGGACTAAACACATTTTACTGAGCTGCACTACCCAATACAGTAGCCAATAGCCACATGTGGTATTTAAATTTAAATCAATTAAAATTGAACAAAATGAAAACATTGATTCTCAGTGGCGCTGGTTATACATTGATGCCTAGTAGTTCCAAATAGTTGGTGGTCACCATCTTGAACAGTACAAGGGCTACAGTATTGGACATCACAGGGAGAAAACACTCCCATCCTGTGGTAAGTCATATTGGACAGGGCTGATAGAGGAGTTAAGCTTGTTAATGTTCTTTGTGGAGAAAACAGAACTTTTCCAAGTGAGAACATGAAAATACACTCAGGGAATACTAATTTCATTAAAGTATACTTAGCCACTATACATTCTTAAAAACCCTTAAATTACCAGTTTAGCACCTTAGAATTTATTAATTCATTTTCATGATGTTAGAGTTAGAGTCGATATCATGACAGACCCAGCCCACAGAGTAGAGATATTTAGTTTCTATATTGTCCAACCACCATGCACCTTCCTCCTCTTTCTGCCCAGTTGTTCAGCGTTCACATTAAAGTACTGCAGTGGTTTGTTTCCTGCAGTTCAAGGATTCATTTAGTGTCCTCAGTAGGAAAGAATTTGGCAGTCAGAATAGTGGACAAAGTTAAAATGAAACAAGTCATAAGAGTTGTTGGTACAATCAGAGAAACCCTTGGGCATTAATAATTTTAAATTGAGTAATTTTGACTAACTTTTACCTCTCCAGAGTAGAGTGATTTTTGGGTTTTCTTGCACTTTTTGGTAATAATAGTATTGCATGCATTCCCACTACATAGTAAGGCTGATGTTTAATTGGGGTCTTGAACTCAATTGTGTTTTCTGCAGTTGGTAAACCTCACAAATGTGGATATTGTGGCCGAAGCTATAAACAGCGAAGCTCTTTAGAGGAACATAAAGAGCGCTGCCACAACTACTTGCAAAGCATGGGCCTTCCAGGCACTCTCTACCAAGGTAAGCCCTGAGAGCATGGGGCGGGCCTGAGCGAGGGGCGGGCTGGCCTTGCGCTGTGCCTCCTCAACGCAGATGAAGAAGGGCCCTCTCACGCACTCACCCTGGGAGAAAACACGGTTGCTGAACCACTGGGAACGAAGGGAAGCTTTTGGCTTAGGGAAAATATGATTTTCCCTAAAATCATATTTCACTAGAGGCACACAGATCTTCCCAACCTTTAAATCCTATTCTCACCTTGGAGTACTTGATTTGAAAACCCCCCACTTTAATATCTGAGGACTTCTTCAATAGTGACCCTTGAAAGTTTGGAGTTTGGGGTTTTCTTAAACCTAGAGTATCGATTGCTTCTTTGTGCTTAGTAATCGAAATAAGATGAGAAATATTGTTTCAAAAGCTTTTTTGTGTGTGAAATTGATCAAATAAGAGCTTTCAGGTTGTGTTTTCCCTCATCAGTTTTAGCACCAGAACATGAGAGAGAGCTTGTTGGAAGAGCTGACAGGCAATAGTGTTGAGCCTGTCACAAGATTCAAGGAAAGCTTTTTTTTGTTTGTTTTTTATGAGTTTTGATGTTTTTTGGTATACTGCATCATGAGATAGCACTTGACTCCAATCTTAGATAATGTAAAGTGAAAGATGTAGAGAGAGCACTGAGGAGACTGAATTCACTCAGAGGGATTGCAGTGTTAAAAAGAGCATCTTTCTAACTTTTTAAGATAAGAAATTTGTAAGTAAAAAGCCAACCTCTTTGAAAACACTTTATTTGGCACTCCCACTAAAAAAGTCATGATTGGTCTAAAGGGTAAAGGTTAAGTCGAACATCACCCAAAGCAGTGATAGTGAAGGCAAAGATAAAGAGCTGGGACTACATCAAATTAAAGAGCTTCTGCACAGCAAAAGAGACAATAACAAAAACAAAGAGAAACCCCACCGACTGGGAGAACATTTTTGCACACAACACTAATGATATTTTTTATTTATTTATTTTTTTTTTTATAGAGGCATGTTCCTTATTTATTTTATTTGTTTGTTTGTTTTGTTTATACATGCACTGGGTACAGTCAGAAGCGCGGGAGGGTGAGAGAATTCACCAGAGCCAGAGCGGGGAGCAGAGCAGGCAGGAGGACAAAAGTACACTGCTCAGGGGAGCAGCGGGCAGCAGGAGAGGTCTGCGTGCCATGTGGGACCCTCCTCCGGTGGCTGGGGAGCAGCCGGGGATCGAACCGGTGCCGCAGAGGCTGCGGGCAGCTTCCCAACCCAGCGCTCAACCGCTGCGCCACCAGGGGAGGCCCCACAACACTAATGATAAAGGACTGATCACAAAAATCTACAAAGAGCTGATGAGACTCAACAAAAACAAAGAAAATAATCCAGTCAAAAAATGGGCAGAAGAGCTAAAAAGAAACTTCTCTGAAGAGGAAATGCAAATGGCCAACAGGCATATGAAAAAATGTTCAACATCATTTGTAATCAGGGAAATGCAAATCAAAACTACAATGAGATACCATCTTACACCAGTGAGAATGGCACATATTAAAAAAACTAGCAACAACAAATGTTGGCGAGGGTGTGGAGAAAAAGGAACTCTCCTGCACTGTTGGTGGGAGTGCAAACTGGTCCAACCACTATGGAGAGCTTTGTGGAGATTTCTTGACCTACTAAACATAGAACTTCCATATGATCCAGCAATTCCACTCCTAGGTATTTACCCAAAGGACACAGTTACATCAATTCCAAAGAGCACCTGCACCCCTATGTTTATAACAGCACTGTTTACAATAGCTAAGCTTTGGAAACAACCCAAATGCCCAAAAATAGATGACTGGATCAAGAAGATGTGGTACATATACACCATGGAATATTACTCAGCATTCAAAAAAGATCAACACATGCAATTTGCAGCAACATGGATTGAGCTGGACGGGATCGTGCTCAGCAAAATAAGCCAGAAAGAAAAAGAAAATTAACGGATGGTCTCACTCATAGCAGGAATCTAGAAAACTTAAATAAGGGACCAGGAAAAAGAATAACTATAAGAAAGAAAATATCAAAATCAACAAACAACTATGAACCAGAGACACTCTATGGGAGGCGGGGGGCGGGGAAAGGAGGGATTGGGGTCAAAATAAGGGGGTTGTAATTGTATGGGGAATATAAAATAAAATTTAAATTAAAAAAAAGTTTAAGTTGAGAATTTATCAAGCCCCATTCAGTTTTCTGACTTTAATAAATGACCCATAAAGGAAACCCACCAGGGAATAGTCAGATTTTAAAAAATTTGTATCATTTAATTTTTTACCATGTTAAAACATAAATAATATAAAATTTATTCGGCGGCATTAACTACATTCAGGAATACTCCAGTTATTAATGGCTGATGAAAGTGCAGAGAATGGTCAGGATGAAGCCATAGGAATCGAAGTCTCAGCACCAAAAGGCAACATGTCACATGACCAAAGTTTTGGGGTTCTGTGCTGTCCTGGTCAACTGTGGTTCTGGGCACTGACGCTTGATTTTTTACTGGGGCTTAATCTTCTTACCTATAAAATGACAAGATCCCATTTCAGATATCATTTAGCTGCCCTCAAAGTCTAAGGTCTAATTTTAGAATGGGAAAGAACTGACAGTAGAAGAGGGGGAACTAGATATTTAATTACAATAGCAACAATATAGCAATTGTTGATTGGGGGGATAATTGAAGGATAACTATGCTGAGAGGATAACTATGCTCTTTTAAAATAGAAGAGATTATGCTCAGTGAAATAAGCCAGAAGGAAAGAGAAAAATATCAGATGGTTTCACTTATAGGAGGAATATAAGGGAACCAAATAAGGGATCAGGAAAAAATTATAATAATAATAAAGAAAAAAGCAAAACTAGCCACCAATTACAAATCAGAGACATTCTGCAGGGAAGGGGGAGGGAGAGGGATCAAAACAGGAGAGGGAACGAGCACAAGGGACTATGGTGATAATGCACGGATGAATTAGTGATGGGATTTTACAGAGACTATACCTGAGAAGAGAAAGCAAATATTGTACAAAATGAACAATGATGTAAAATATATATAAATATTTTTTTAAAAAAATCAAGTAAAAAGTATAAAATTTAAACACTCAGATACTGTATTTTTCTGAGAAAAATAAGTTAATGGATATAAGAAAGAAGTGCCCCTGACCAATGTTTAAATAAGTCATTTTTCAACTGGACAACTATTAAATGAGGACTTCTTATCTATAATACCAAGCCCTATTGCATATAATAATCTGAATGTCCCCATGGAATGAGAAGACAAAACAAAGAGGAGAGGCAGAAAATGAACACTGGTTTTCTCCAGTTTTTATGAATAATAATCAAAATATGGTAGGCTGAGGGATTTTTCCACTGAGATCCAGGTTCCAGTTTCATCTCTGCATCTGTGTTTGAATGTGACCCTGGGTTCATCCACTAAGTGGGAGTGATAGTTCCTGCTTGACCAGGCCTGAACAAAATTGCTCTGTGAGAAATGTGAGAAAAGGAATAGATGTGAGAATAAGGAGCACAGGCAGGCATCCAGACTGGTGTTATCCAAGTATTGACACCAAACACACAACCCTCCTCTATGTCCACATCAATAAGCATATATGTCAGTGATATATATTAAATAGTATTCTGTGGTCAGCATCAATTTAATCCTAAAATGTTAATGTATTCCCTTTGGTGATCAAATGATCGTAAACACCAAAATAATGTCTTCACATTCACAGTAAGTGCTAATTGAAGGAACTTTGAGTGTCAAGGGAACCCATAAAGCACCTTCTAGACTACATATGGGATTTGGAGGGCAGGCACTGCCTAGGGAGTCTTGGTCACTTAACCTTGCTGTGCTGGGACAGGTTGGGCCTGTGCCTTCTCTGGGGTTCTCATCTCTATCCTTCCCATATCCCCTAAAGCTGTCCCCCCAGAAATCAGACAGATGCTTACTCAGACTTTCTCTCTTAGTTTCCCTTAGGTTGGGTCCAATCTTTCATACTGGGTAAAAACAAAGCCTAGTTTGTAGGATGGGGGAAAGATTGGTTTTCCTGAATGTGTTTTTACTTAGTGAAAGACTTTTGGGCCATCTCTTGTAATTTTCTAATGTCTTATGGAAAAAGTAAGTTTCTCTTATGCCTTCAGTACACAGATTATGTTACAAGCCCTTAGAAGAGAACGCATCAGAGGAAAGCTTACCAGGGACAGGGAGCACGGAGCTCTTTTGTCCCTCACTATGAGAATTCTGAAGGTCTTGGCTCTCAGGAAGCCCAGTAGTCTTGGGGAGGCAGCCCTGCTGGCTGTGCCACAGGAACTCTGGGCAGGTCACATTGCAGAAGAAGGTGGACATAGCACAAAGCATGTTAGCTTGATAGATCAAAAGTACAACCAGTGGAATCGGGTTTTATGGATTTTATGTGCATCCTTCATATTATCGGGGTATAGGTTATTATGTGTGCCCATTTAATAAGACATCCACATATACAATTTTCAAAATTACATTTACCAGTAATAACCAATTTGTAATATACTTTCAAATTGTCATTCATAATAGCAATGAAGACAGGCTATTTAGAAATAATCTTAGCAGGTAATGGGAAGAAAATGATAAAGAGAGCTACCAAACCATCCTGAAACAAGAAAGAAAACTTCAATCTTCAAAGATCGAAGAGGAAGAGCAGACTGGATATATGTGTCCTTCGAAATCAAGGCTAACCTAAAATTAGTCTATAATTCTTATTGGAATTTGGTGACCATATATCATAAAGTGAATAAATTTATTTGTAAAAATAAATGAGAGACATGGCATTTCTCTTAGAAGAATAATGTCTGGGTTATATTAAAATGTAGCTTTAATATGGAATTTATGGGTAAATAGACAAATCAATATCAGATATGATTAAAACTTCCAGAAGTTATGTGATAAACCAGCATGTCTTATGTGAGAAAGAGGAAGCATATGTCAGTGGAATTGAAATGGACTATTCAGAAATGGTGTTAGAAGAATTGATTACCTATTTGGAAGATAATCAGTTTACATGTTCAGATATAGTTATAGTTCCAAAAATCAACAATAAAAACTAAATTGAAGATGAGACTAAAATATACAAAATTGTGTCTTCAATTATGGAAAGGAAGTTACCATGATCAACTAAAAAGAGCCTGTACATCAGCATTTATTGCCACATTTCTATGTTTTCTACTATATGCAGATACTATTTGATTTTCAGTCTGCTGTATATTCAGGGATAAGGAGCTTTAGGGTCACCCCCGCCCCATGGCCAGGATGCTATAGTGTAAGAGCAGCCATGTTTCTTTCTGCATCACAGTTTACTATGCAGAGGATATAGTCAAACCCTTAGATCATTTCTAGCCCTGACAGTTCTTTGGTTCTCAGAGGGCTGTTGTCAATATTGACTAAGTTAATGGATTTGGGAATATTTGGAAAAATGAAGGGGACTTGTCATAGGGTCACAATCATAAACCAGCTTCTGGTGACAGTGAGAGGGTTTGTTCCTTTGAACTTGAGGACTGGCATGCAGTCAACAGGTGTCATTAGCAGGTGGCCTATCTTTGTCTTTTCTATCTCTTGTTCAACCTCTGTCTGGAAGCTTTTCTAGGAAGATTAGAAATAATTTGTACAAAGGGCCTGGATTTTGTAAGCATTTAACAAATGTCAGATTTAACATTGGACACAACTGAACCCTTTCACCATAAGCATTGCTAAACTGGCCTCTCTAACTGTCTTTAACTTTAGTAATGAAAGAAGAAAATAATCACAGTGAAATGGCAGAAGACCTGTGCAAGATAGGATCAGAGAGATCCCTCGTGCTGGACAGACTAGCAAGTAACGTCGCCAAACGTAAGAGCTCTATGCCTCAGAAATTTGTTGGTAAGAGTTAAACGTTTGCTGTCTCTTAAAAAACAACTATGTGGATTTTATATATTTAGGTTGTCATTAGTTGAGGATAGAAAAAAGAAAAAAGTCCTTCAGTTTTTAGAGAGCAAAACTGATAAGCTTAAGATTTCTTAAATATCTTAGAATTTTTCCAGAAAGTCTACTAAAAATACTAACTCTGTCTTTAGCATTCTTCCTAGATGTAGCCCTGAACATCTGAACACCCAGTCACACCGACCTGTAGATGTCCCCTATCCATTTGGGGGTGGCCAGGTCATTGTGCATAGGGTGGAGCCAACAGGGGGCCTAGCTCAACAGGGGGATCCCCACACCACATGGACACCCCCCTCCCTGAGCAGCCTCTAAATGTCAGATCCTTGTTCTTCACATGAAGCTCCTAGCACTCCCAAATTGGGACACCTTGAAGACCTAATGGGCAGAATGGCACAGCAGCTCACCCATATGAAGTGAAGCTCACCCATAGGAAGTGCCCATTGAAGAAGGCGCATGGCTGTGATTGCTGCCATGACTGTTGAATCTCTACCTATAAGGGATAAAAGGAAAAGTGAGGTGGACCTTTCCTCTGGGAGCTTGTTGCCAGTGTAGTGTAGGTGGTAGACAAATGTGCCAATAACCATCATCCAGGCCAAACATCCAAGAATAAGAATAAATGACAACTACACAGTTGGAAGAGTAAGAACTCACTGAGCTTGGGGACCCAACTTAAAATGGCAGTGCAGACCCACATGTGAACATTGTCACTTGACGAAATTATTCAACTTCTCCAAGCCTTGGTTCCATTCTTTATGTATCTCACAGAATTTTATGAAGATAAATGGACACCAAAGAAGTGAGGATATTTATAAATCCTCAATGTGAAGGTCAACTATTATCAGAGGGATAATATCCAGGAAAGATGTCCACAGAAAGTCAAAGGTCATTCCAGAGGACAGTATCACAGGGAAAGGGTTTTGTCCACAAAAGAGGCTCATGGAAGGAGAGTTATGTCCAGGGAAGAGACTTACAGGGAGAAGATAATGTCCAGTAAAAAGTATCAGTAAAAGCTTTGTGAAGCTGGCTGTGTATGGAGAAATAGCTTTTAGCACAATACAGGTGGTAGGGGAAAAGGAGAAGATTATAGACAAATGACAAAAATAATAAGAAATGGTGATGCTGGCTTTTAGGACCAGAGAGGAACATGTGGGACATAATTAAGTTTCTGAGCTAACTTACAAGACCATAGGGAAGTTCCAGGCAATAGAGTGAATGGCCTTTGAATAGCAAAGTGAACAATATGTTGGTAATTCAATAAGCAGAAAAAAACATTGACTTTTTTTTTTTTGAAGCAACATTTTGGAAATTAGGAGACAGCAAGAGTCAATAATTGATTGGATAAGGAAAAGGGATGGGGCAGTGGTAGCACTCATAGAGAGAGGGTGATAAGGAGGTGGAAGAGGCATATAGGTCAGTGCTGGGAATGATGGAACCCTTGAATTGTGGTGACTCTGGTGGAATAGTATGTTATTTACAGCCAGGTTCTGGAAAGAGAGTTCTGGTTTGATTTGCTAATTTTCAAGGACTTCCTGGTGTAGATGCTATACTCAGACTGGGAACTATATATTGGGAACTATTTATCTGTCAAGAATGCGGTTAATGCCTCTGAGAGAGGCCCTCACTTCTTATAGTACAACAGGAAGAGGGGAGGACAGAGGAGAAGCCAAATTCTGGGAGATTCAGCCTCTTTTGTGCAGCCTAAAATAAGCTCCATTTTGATCTGATTTAAATAAGAGTGTCATAGGTTGAAAGGTATAGGGGAGAAAAGAGTTAATTCTTTAAAAATGTCTTTGGAAATCACTGGCTAGAGACACTTAATGAGGAATTATCCACATAAATGTGAACTTTTAGATTATGGAAGGACCTACTTCTTGAGGATTTTCTGGTCATGGTCAGATAACTGGGAGATCATGTCCAGTAAAAGCTTTGTGAAGCTGACTGTGTATGGAGAAATAGATGGTGGGAATCAAGTAGCACTGGCTGAGGTAGAAATACAACCTGGCACCTCCCTGCCAGGTATGTACAGTGAGAACAGTTGGGAGGTGACTGAGGAGATGGAGCAAAGCAAGTGTGTCCAAGAATTGTTAACAGCCACTGACTTTGGGAAGCAAGGTTTGACTGCCTCCTTCAGATTAAGAAACTGGAGAATGTCTCTCTCATAGAGAGAGGATGGTAAGGAGGTGGAAGAGGCATGTAGGTCAGTGCCGGGAGTGACGGAACCCTTGAATTATTTGAAAAATGAATATTTGCAGCCCATTTTAATTTTGGAGACTTCAAACTAAATGAGATCATATGTGAAACTCTCCTGTATCCCCTTCTATTGAGACAATAATTTAGGCATTGACTTTAGAAGTTTCTATATTTAAAACAGCAACAATAAGCCCTCTCATCAAACTAAGTTAGGATGAAAAAGAGAGGTGGAACACACTGGAGATGTATAAAAGGAAGAGTAGGAGGAAGATCGTTAGAGTGGAGTTTGAGAAAAGGGCTCACAGAGTGGGCATTATATGAGATTTTTCCCCAAAAGTGTAGTGATTGGCAATCTATTGATATTTCTAAAATAATGTCCCTTCTTTATTTGGTAAAATAATACCCAAAGCCTGCCATCTCCTCACTTCAATTTGGTGAAATTTCAGTCACTCCTAACTTGTCAGAGTTTCTCCATCTCCAAAACAAAAAGGAGATGGATCTCAAAATACCTTCAGCCTCTATGTGCTATGTTTTTCCATTATATAAATTCAAAAAGATCATGTAGGAAAGCAAATGTTGTCATTCATGCTGGCTCTGTAGTGATGGAGCTGAAAGAGTCCTGGGTTTGCATTCAAGAAGCTAGGTTCAGGGTCCAGCTGCATCTATGACTGGCTGGACTTAGCGGCCCCATCTATTAAGTGGGTGTGATGCCAGCTGCCCTGCCTCCTTTCTCAAGGCAGTACTTTGAATCAAAAAAGAGGAGATGGGGGCCTTGCTGGCATCAGCACTATGAAGCTATCTGCAGCCACTGTAGCACCGGTTCGATCCCTTGCCAGGGAGGTGACCCACATGGCGCAGCAGACCTCTCGTGTCTCACCCAATGCTCCCCTCAGCAGTGTATTTCAGTGGATCCACCTGTTCTGCTCCCCACTCTGACTCTGGTGGGTTCTCTCACCCCCTGCACCTCTGGCCTGCACCCCAGCTCTTGTATGCATGAATAAATAAATTTTTTTTAAGAAAAGAGATGGTTTGACAGTAAAAGGAAATAGAAGAGAAAAATAACAATGATCAATATTCCTGTAAACCATTATAATTATCTTAGTATATATTCTCTTTTTCTTATGGAAAAGGTCCTGTTGTGCTATTAAAATGACACCTTGTTAATATAACGAATTTATATTTTAAATCAATCATAAAGAACCTTAATTCAGTAATGAATGTTTTAAAATCGCTATAAAAAACCAACACCCAGAAATTACCATGAAAAGTAGTTGAACATCATTCTAAACATATTTCTGTTCCTGTAGCTAGGCATAGGTAAGATGATGAATAGGTGGCTTGATAGACATAGGTGTGAAATAATTATTTCTATAAAGAGTCTGTCATATTATAGATGCTGTTTCAAATGAAAGTATCATATTTATCCATCTTAAATTTAAGAGGTGAACAAGAACCAAACACAACTGGAAAAATAGCTCATCTTCATAAATTTTTTCACAAGGATTAATTGAAAAGATACTTTATGAAAAACATTAATGAGTCCTTCAAATAACTTTTAGTCAATTCGTTTCAATTTAGGAATTTCTTCTGATTCACAAACTAAGGACATTATTTTTTCAGTATATTGAGATTTTTGCATTCTTCAGCTTCATAATATTAAGATACTAGTATGTAAATCACAACTCTTATAACAATTCAGCTATTTATTATTAGTTCTATAGTTAAATAGAGTCAAGTTTCAGACCAAGTCCTTTTTATTGCTATTTCTATTTATTTTGAGTAATGTCTTAATTGAGTGGATCTCACATTCAAGCAACTTTTTTTCCAAAAGATTCCAGAGTTATTTAGAATTTGATGGTTTTTGCCCCTTGGTTTTCTACTTGGAGAACATGTTGACAGAATGAATGGTTTTAGGTCACTCTTTTTATCCCCTGATAACTTTTTAGATCTTGCCTTGACAACTGGTAGCATTGTTTGTTGAATGTTCCTATGGAGATGTTTAAGGCCAGTCTGACATTCTGTTCTTAAAGGTGATTTCCATTTTCTCCCCGAATCCCTGGAGTTTTTCTTTAAGTGTTTTAACCTTAAATACCCTATCAGGGATGGGTCTCTTTTGTATTCTGAATAAAAAAATTCCTGGTATTTTAATCTGGGGAATCCCTTTTTCTCTTTATTTCTTGGAAATTATATTCTTTATAAATATATCTTTTCCATCTCTTGTGGTAAGTATTCAGGGATACCCATTTGCCCTTTTGTTAAATAATTTGTCTTCCATATCTGTTAGCATTTCTTTATCTTTATATTACATAAATTCAGTGTTTTTACCTTATTTTGCCCCCATGTTAGTAATTCCATTTTTAATAACTTATGTTCTGTTTCTTACAACTTCTAATTCATGTTTTTAATTATTTAATAATAATGACTGGGACCTCATTTTGTTGCCTGTGATCTGAAATATTTTTAACGTTATTCTTTGGTTTTAGCATTCTGTCTTTCAGTATTTTTTTTTTATTGAGTCCATCTCACAAAGCAATTATGAGACATTTACTCTCTTCTGTGAATTAAGTGTTTTTCTTCCCTAGGATGGGCTTATTGGTCTGTATTTTACTTCCTTTCTTCCCTTGCATAGCTAGAAAATATTTTCACAGTAACTATGACATTTCTTTTCATCTTGATTGTTCTACTTAGACTGATATGTCTTGATTGACATTTCGACTTTCTTCCCACTGTATTTGAGACATTTTTTTTTTCCCTGTGAGAGCTATTGATTTTTCTAAATCCTGAAAGAATGCCAAGGATGGGTGGGGGAAATTCAGGTGAGGAAAGTGCAGTCTTTGTTAAAGTCTTTCTCTCTGTTTTCTCAACGCATTCTGAGATGTGGTTAAATGTCCTCAGCCAGTTACCATCATGCCTGGTGGAGGAGTACTTTCCAGTCCCTCTGGGGACACTCTGCACTTCTAGACCGTTACCCTGTAGCAGCCAGAACTTAACCTTGTTGTAAGAGCCAACTTCATACTTCACCGGTGTTTCCTGATTCTCACAGGAAGAAATTTCAGCTGCTCTTTGATCTGGATTTATTCTCAATAGAGATAAGAATATTAGGAAGATTGCTGAGGATTTTACTGATTTGTTCCTAGGCATTTTAAGAGAGATCAGTGATCAAACTCTGCCGGGTGTCTCATGCTGAAACTTTTCCTTGCACCTTGTTTTTTATTACTATTTCATTGAATGTCTTCCTTTCTTTAGCTGATTGACAAAGTGGATTTTGTGGGGGTATTTTTTTCATGTTGTGGAGTAGAAGGAAAATTCTATAGGTAGTTTTAATATGCCATGGTAGTCTGAAATATACATTGCTTTTCTTCCTATTCATTTGTTGCTAGTACCATGTTTTAAAAAACAGATTTCAGTAGTTGCTTGCAAAACCACAGAACCATGACTTTGGAGAGAAACAGGATTATTAGGTAGGGAGTACTTTTATACTATCAGAATTGGCCACAAATTCCACCTCTTCCCCTCCTTGTTGGGTTTATTGGAGTGATAGACTAGGGTACCAGCCAGACAAGATTCATGTTGTTCTGGGGTTAGTGTTATAAAACATCTAGCTCCTTAACACAAAAGCAGACAAAAAGAAATTATGTGATTTCTGTAATGTTATCTGGTTATTTCTTCAAACCTTTAGAAGCTTTTGTGATCCCTGCCAACCAGCTTGCAAAGAGAGTCCTCTCTGTTCCATTGCTGCAGTGGGTGTGCCTGCCCAAGAAGTTCTCTGTAATCTAAGGATCACATTGACCCATTATCAGGGCACGTGAGACTCCTGACAGCAGGAGATTAAATGAATGGAAGCTGGGCCGTTATGTGATAAATATCCATTACAAAGCAAGAAATGAGACCTTCAGATATTTTATAGTATGATAAGGCTTATTCCTAAACAACCATCAATGATCCTCAGTTATTTTTCTTTTTCCAAAAGGTACTATTAGTATATTTTTTAAACTCTGAAATTGTCCTTCTCTTGTTGAGAACTAGAGAAGAACTGGAGGTCAATTGTCAACATGGAAAGAGTGAGTTCCCAATACCACCACCCTCACCACCACCCCTTAGTAATAACCAGACTCTTGCGGGAGTCTTGAAATAATTCCCTTCCCTTTGCCCACCCCCAATCTGTTCTTTCCCAGTGAGTGGGAAGGGCACATGCTACCTTCAAACCCTTCTGTGGTATCCTTTTTCCTTTGGACAAAGCCTCTGTTGGGTCTAGCCCTGTCTGCCAACATAATGCTGCTCTTGCTGCCCCTACCTGGAGCTCTGCCCTTCCTCTTTTACCATTCCTTCTAAACCGCAGCTGCTTTACTACCCTGGTTGTGTGTGTGTGTGGCGGGGGCGGGGGGTGATCCCCAGTGCTAGAACCCAAAATCCCACTCACATGGTAGACTCCTCCTAGATCAAAACCCTGAGGAACACCCCTCTTCATCTTCATATGACTTCTCAGACTGGAATGCTCTGTTTGTGTGATCATGCTTTAGTGTCTATGACTGTTGTCGGCAGTGTGCTGCTGCTGAAGGGGCTAACTTCTTCTTACTCATCTTTCTGTGCCCAGTCTGGTCTGGGCCAGGCTGTGGTGCATGCTCCATGAAGATGTGTTGAAGGAAGGAAAGAAACAGAAAGAAACGTAAATGTAAGCTGTTTAGATAAGCCCATGGATGGTCTCATGTGTTTTTATTTATGAATTAACCATCACTAAAAGTAAAGCAAAGCAGTAGTCCTGACAATAACATTGCAAACAGTTAAATACTGAACTTCCTAGTTAAGTCTTGGTTTATACTGACTTAAAACCAATCTAACAAACAGGTATATTTTCAAAGAAATTCCTTTTATTTCTTTATGAAAATGTTTACTTGGAAACTAATTACAAGAAACCAAAACTAGTCACAGATTTCACCTTTCCAGTGTAGGAGCTTTCCTCCTCCTACAAACCCTGGCATCAGATCAAAAGTTTCTTGAGGTGACTTACTCTCTCTGAAAAGTCCTCAGCTTAGATATCGATCATGCTTAGTAATTTTTTTGAGAATAAATAAATTCTGCAACATTCTGCCTTGTAGCTTTCTCAGTTTTCTCCCAACTTCCCTCCATATCTCCTGCTGCACATGGCTCCAGTGCTGCTAGGGTTTGAAAGGCAAATTTGTGGATTTCTAGAACCTGTAAGTCTGAGTGTCCTTGATACTCTCACATCAAATCAGAGCCCTTTCAGCTTTCTGTTATTTACAAGAACAATATTTTATTATAAATAACACAGTAGAAATTTGAACAAGTTGGGGATTAAGAGCACAGTTTTCCTTCCACCAATCAAATATCATAGTATAATTTATAGTCTGCCCTCCACATCTGCAGATTCAAGCAACCAACCTCCAGCATGGATGGTAGAATCCTTAAATATAGATCCATGCATAGAAAAATGTTGTATATGGTACAACAGACCTCTTCTGACTTGCCCACTGCTCCCCTCAGCAGTGTATTTCAGTCAATCTGCCTGTTCTGTTCCCCACTCTGTCTCTGGTGAATCCTCTCACCCCCTGCACCTCTGGCCTGTATACCCCAGTTCTTGTGTGCATAAATAAATAAATCTTTAAAAAAAAGAAAAAAAAGAAAAATGTTGCATATAAGTGGACCTTTTCAGTTTAAATCCATATTGTCTAAGGATCAACAATATGCAATTTTCATGTATTTTTATTAAATTTTATTTTAGAGAAAGGTATGAATTTAAAATTTTATCACAGCTTTTCACATAAGTATATTCACATTATTCTGACTCATTATGCAATTTAATTAAATAAATGCATGAGAAATTAACTAGTTATTGTAAATTACTTAAAGCACTATATTGAAAATATGCCACTTGAGTATTCATCTTAAATTAAATGATAGTGTTGAATTATATACGAAAAGGCATAAGGACTGGTTTAGTCTATTTGATATATGCTATTTAAGTTGGCATGCACATATTTCTTATTCATTTGCTCATTTGCTCAGCCAGATTTGTTTAAATGCCAACTCTGGACAGGTCCCTCTGCTATGTGTCCAGGGCAGAAACAGTTCAACCTTTGCCTGTTTTGGAGATTTTCATGTAAGTGTCTGAGAGCAAACCAAGAGCCATGAGATTGAATACCCCCTTTGATGTAGATTTTACCTGTTGCTGCCAGGCACACAGTAACTCAGGCCTCACTGTCATCTGCTTCCCACAGGGGACAAGTGCCTGTCAGACATGCCCTATGATGGCAGCACCAGCTACGAGAAGGAGAATGAGCTAATGCAGACCCACGTGATGGATCAAGCCATCAATAATGCCATTAGCTACCTTGGGGCTGAGTCCCTGCGCCCCCTGGTGCAGACACCCCCAGGTAGCTCCGAGGTGGTCCCAGTCATCAGTCCCATGTACCAGCTTCACAAGCCCCACTTGGAGGGGCCCCCACGTGCCAACCACTCCGCCCAGGACAGCGCTGTGGAGAATCTGCTGCTGCTCTCCAAGGCCAAGTCAGTGTCTTCTGAAAGGGAGGCATCCCCCAGCCAAGACTCGACAGACACCGAGAGCAATAACGAAGAGCAGCGGGGTGGCCTCATCTACCTGACCAACCACATCAACCCCCATGCCCGCAATGGCCTGTCCATCAAGGAAGAGCACCCAGCCTATGATGTGCTGCGGGCAGCCTCCGAGAGCTCTCAAGATGCCTTCCGGGTGATAGGCACAAGCGGGGAGCAGATGAAGGTGTACAAGTGCGAACACTGCAGGGTGCTTTTCCTGGACCACGTCATGTACACCATCCACATGGGCTGCCATGGCTTCCGTGATCCTTTTGAGTGCAACATGTGTGGCTACCAGAGTCAGGACAGGTATGAATTCTCATCCCATATCACACGGGGGGAGCACCGCTTCCATATGAGCTAAATGCCCCAGCTGCACACGCCACCCAAGAAAAGCACAAACCATTACTGCCCCCCTCCTACCAGTGGATGGACTGGATGAGAACCTTGTGCTTTAATTTCTAGGTGGTTTTTGTTTTGTTTTGTTTTGTTTTGTTTTAAGCTAATTGGTTGCCATGTGATTTGCTTTTGAAAACAAAAAGATTTCATTGTTAGATGTGGGTGTACATTCAACACTCCACCCCCAAATTGCTGTTACTAGATGTTTCCATAAACTGCTAGCTGAAATCCCCCCACCTGTTGCCTCCTAGAATCCCCCTCCTCCAAGCAATGTGTCATTTTCAGAAAGAAAGTTATAAAAACAGGCCAAAGTCTGGGCACGAATGTGCTGGCTCCTGTGCCAAGCAGAGGACTCCCACACCAGGTGTGATTTCTTAGGTCCTAGCAGCAGTGGGTCACCACCTGAGCTGACTTTCAGGTGAACAATACAGGTGAGCAGACCTTAAAGATGCTCCCATAGCAGACTTGAGCACTGCATCATATTCTTCATAGGAAGCAAATTGTTGGGGCAAAGTTGTAATTATTGGTTCCCTTGCAAAGGGAGACAGGATGCATTGGAAATTCTTTTAGATTCATTCCCAATTTCCACACTGCTATGACATTGCTTGGAAGGCTGCAAGACTTCCCAGGCTTGCTGTCAGTTGCAAGGAACTCAATGTTCCTGTGACCCCATCTGGAAACTACTGTTTCTGCTTTTTTATTTCCACAACTTTAATGACCCCAAGTCTATCACTACATTTTTAATACCAGTCCTGAAATTTGGACCATGATTCTTTTTGAATCTTGCAAACAGTGAAATGTCTCTGAAACCAAAGCTTTAGTTCACAGTCCCCACATGGTTCCTTGGATATATTTCTTCACTGGCTAGTTCTACCAGAAGGCTATTTGTCTGCAGAAGTCCCATCCTAGACATCCTTTTAGCCAAGCAGCTGTTTTGTTTGTAAGTATAGGCCTGAATAACTTATTGCCAGTTCCCTATCTGCATATTATTTTTTTTAAATTCATAAAAGAATTCAGAATATCATTAATTTTCAGATCAATGAAATAGGACAAGTGAAGTCCATCCAATGTTACTAACACACAGAAAACCTACTTATTTGAAACCAAACTTTCAAAAAATCTGAAACGTACTCCTCTGAGGACAAAGCAATACCCATGTGCCCATACAACATTAGGACACATTGCCCCATACCATTTTTCACTAGGAAATTGATTCAGGGTAATCATGTCATTCTTACTTCCTGTTTCAGATCTGACAAGAAAAGGACAGGTGGCACTAGAGGTGAGAGTGAGTGTTGGTCTCACTGCAGTGCTTGGGGAAGGGTCTTCCTCAATGTTAATTCTATTGGCAGGACAGTAATCCCAAACACTTTAGCAAGGAAGAACATATAATTTCAAGGGTTTGCAGTACTTTGCTTCTCCCAACTTATCCTAATGTGAACAAAAAGATACAAAGGGAAAACTGCACAGGCACCTCCACATTTAACCTAAATCTGGGGTCTTCACCACAAGGATATTTCCTTGTGGGAGATTTTCCCAAGCATCCTGAGAAGTTTGGCAGCATCCCTGGTAACGACAAACTAAATGACATAAGCACCTCCAATTTGAAACTTACAATCTCTTTAGAAGTTGCCAAATATTTCCTGGAGGGCAAATTAACCCTGGCAGAGAACCCCTGCTTAAATGAATTCTTAACCAGTTGAAGGTCTGCAAAGTCTTCCAGAGATAAAAGCATTGGAAAAAATCTTCCCAGGTCACAATCTGGAACCTGACTCATGTTCCTTTGGAGTCATTTTAAATTTTATAAATGAATTATTCGCCTTCAGTCTTGACAAATACACCTGCTCCCGTGCACCTGAGTTTTGTTGAAAGGATGGAGTTCACAAAAATATTCTAGAGCCTTAGGTTTTCTTTGCTTACCAAGGGTGTGGCATTTTGAAACTGGAAATGGTAATAATTTAGATAGTGGCACAGGGATGCACTGAGTAAAGGAGCGGAGAGGAGCAGGCTGTTGTCAGCCTCAGTTCAACATGCAGTTACAGAAAGAGGGTGACATATTGCTTAGGTTTCCAGTTTACTGGCCAATTTTACCTGCCCTGTTCTCCATCCCATACAGTCATTTGGTTGAAAGGAGTTATTTTTCCTACTGGCTTCAAACAAAGCTTGACTGTAAATAGTGACTAGGAGAGTTCTTTTCTAAAATGTTCCCCCTTCCTCCCCTTGTCTTTTAGTCAATATAACTGTCTACCACACATCTTTCTGTTGTGGTTTTATAATGTAACCATTTTACTTTGAAATTATTGTATTTAAAGTAGGGTTTCATAGAATATCAACAAGTAAGTAAATTATGTTCAAAAGGCAAACATGTTCTGTACCCAAAGCTGTTTGTGTTTTTCTATCTAGCAGTAAGAGTAGGATTTTGCATGACCTCTCACACTTTTTTGTTCTGTGGTTTGTTCTCTTGTCTGATGGTATGAGTGTGAGTGTGTGTACTGAAATGTGTCTACATTTCATGCACCCTCGTTGTGTTTAAAATAAATACAGAAAAACAAGGATTGTGAGGATCCTTGATCTATTGGCTATGAGAAATCCCTTTTAGTGTCCCTGCCCCAACTCTGCCACCTACTCACTTGACAAAGGAATCTACCTTCCCTACCCAGGTCCCCTCTGAACATGTACCATAGAGTGTGGGATTATCCTAGTTGAAGAGTCCCTTTAAAAAACTGCATTATCATTTCTTTATCACCCAAGGGTGTCCCAGCACCTATCACTTCAGATATAAGTAGGTTCCATGTCCATTTTGGAAGCAAGCACGTAATGAAATCTTAGAATCTTCACCGAGGAAGAGAGTTACCTCTTGTGGAAATATGTGGTTCTATGTTTCTTTTTTTCTGGTTTTGTTTTGATTGACTCTATTGTAGTATCATCTTCTTGCAAAAATAAAAGCAAGGTGAAATGGATTTATGTGGACAAGTTATGCAGCAAATGTATTTGTCTATCCTTCACTTCTCGAGTTCCAGCAATAATGAAGGGTAGCTATATCTAAAATGCAGTTATTTCACTCATTCAGTTCAATGTGTGTTTTTCCACTTTCAAAATGAACCAAAAGCAGTCTTCTTTAAGAAAAATGGGCATCAGAACTTAAAAAGGAGATTCTCTGTTGGTAATAGCACTCACTGTGAATAAGTGTAACAGGATATTAATATGCAATATTGTTTCCGATACTTTCTAATACTTTTTTACAATGTTGTATGTGGTGATTGTTAAGGTCTAATCAGTTGTACCCAATGCAGCTTTAGGTCTTAAGCTGCCACTCTGGCAAGTACATGTACAGGATTGTAAATGCAGTTTTATCTCCAAGCTGCCTCTCTGCTGATGTTAAATTATTTCTGTTTAGCTGTGAAGAAGGGGTATGCTCCTCGAGGAAGGATTTCCTCCTTTTGTACACATTTTGAGATGCTTCTTCTGTAATGATAGAGCAAATAAATACAAAAAAAAAAAAAAACAACCAAAAAAAACTGTCTGTGTCATCTAGTGTATGAGAAGGGCTCCTTCGCAGGTAGAGATTACAGCCTGAGTTGGCAATCCTATGTGCTGGGGTGCACCCTATGTTACTGGCACAAAGGTTTAGTTTAGCAGGCTAACTGCCTCCTGTTCATAACTGTGCTTGGCTCTTGGCGCCGAATCTCAGTCAAGAAATACACTCCTGGTCTTCCCAGAACACTGCACAATGCCACAAGTCAGACCTGGGCAGGTTGCACAGAGACTGTGACCCACTGCAGTGACAGCCCCTTACACAGTCATCCTGCATAGCTGCCCACTTAGGTCGGGGTAAACAGGCCACAGAACCGAATACTGAAAGCACTCCCTCTGTGGAAATCCTCTGTCCTTTGGAGAAATAGCTGGACATCCTGTGGGTTCAGGCTAGTAAGTAAAGTTAAGTGACCATTTGGTCACAACATTTAATGCAACATTTGTATAACCTTTTATCCAAATGAGGTAAAACTCTAACAGATCATCATCAGCTCACTGTACTGCTTCACACAGGCCTGGCTTGGGCTCCACCGACGTTCCCGCAGTATCAATTTCCAAGATGGCATCTTTGAAAGTATCCAGAGTCAGATAGATAAATGTGATGATATACACACCCATCTAAAGTTGGGCCACCATGTTACTTCTAAGTGATCATTGGTTAAATGAATCAATGATAGAGGCATGTCTAGCAATATCCTGGGCCCAACCTCAAGAGAAAGGGTGATTGGAAAGTGCTGACTAGAAAGGGTCGGGGTTTGAGGGTGAGATAGGAACACTCCTAACTCCTTATGAAACTTAATAAATATGTTGAAGGAATCATGAGAGAAGGAGCTGCTTCCCCTACTCATTCCCAAGCCCTTTGGTTCTTCATGGAGACCTTGGAGCCCCAGGACATGGTATCTGGGTAAGTATAAGCTTTCTAAGTCACCAGTTTGATCACAGATCTTCATAAGGAAATAGTGAAGACGAAACAGTTGCATCCACACCTGAGAGAAGGAGTCAGTGAGGTCTTCCTGGTCTACCTTAGAAGGATAGCACAGTATTTCAGGTGGGACTAGAAAGGTGAATGAGTCAGTAGCAGAGACAAAGGATCCAGAAGAAGTTGCATGGAAGTGCCATTCCCAGACGCCTGGAGAAGAGCCCCAGGGCAGCCCGGGACTTCCACCTCTGATGTTTCCGCAGGAGTGGTCCTGAGCTTTCCTGTCTTGTTTCATCATTCCCAGCAGGAAAAAGTTCTTGTGAGTTTCACAGCGATCCTGGCAAATGCTGTAAATTCAGAAGTTGAACAAAGTGTTGGTGTGAAATTTGGGAAATCAAAGTCAGGATTGGGAGGAGCACAAAATTTCCTTACCCATTTCCAGTTACTCTTGCATTCTCATTGAAAACATGGTTTTCGGAGCAAAACTCCTTTGATTGTTCCCGAAAGTCATTTGTTTGTCTATGTGTTTGTTTGTTGTTGTTTTAATGGCCTCTCCACTTCAAACAGAACTAGGCACAAGAAATTAAGCAATCAGTGAGAGATTCAGAGGTAATTCTCAGACAACAAATATAGGCACTCTGTGCCTCCTCTGCGTCCAGGGTATCACTGAACCTCCTAGCCTGTCTCAGTAGCCAGATGCACAGCAGCCAGGGGCCACGGGTAGGAGTGCCGCCCAAGTGTTACTGTTACTCCACTGCATGTGTCTTGCCTGCCTTTGCCCCAAATAACTCACTCTTACTACTGCAAGAGAAACAGTGAGGGGCAGCTTCTAAGCCAGTGGATGGCACTCCAAGCCGCTGGATGGTAAAAGGTGGAGCTTTACAGACTCTACCCCTTGACTCCCTGAAGGGGCTGCTGGGAACCAGGGGCAGACCAGAGCTACCAGGTTGATCTTAAAAAGACTGAAATAGGCAGCAGCTCTCTTTTTGTCTTCTGCTTGCAGCTGGCTTCTGCTCAGCTGACACTATGTGCTGATAGGACAGACAGCATCCTGCCACGTGCCGGCCAACACATTTTCTTCTCTCTCTTAGTGCTCCCTTTTCTCACTCCCAGTGTAAATCTGCTTTCTGGACTTGTAGTCTTAAGCGCCTGGGTGAGAAGTCCCCACCCAGGTTGCCTTGTAGCACTACCTCTAATGAGGAAGCTTTGTCTGGACTCTTAGATGAACAATTGTGTCTCAGCAGGCCTGGCTTCTGACCTTCACTTGGCACTGCCTCCTACTGCCCTCTCCTTCAATAACCCAAATTTCCAATTCCCAGCTCTCCGCTGTTTAGTCTCCCCCAACCCACTCTAGTCTTGTTTGCATGACAGTGTTTCCAGTGACCCCTCATGATGGTAGTTCTCAAACACAGCTTATAATCACCTGGGTGGTTGTTAAAATACAGCTTCCAAAGACTCCAGCCTGGTCATTCTGCAACCTGTGATCTGCATGGAGTCCTCCTCTCAGGTAAAGAACAAGCTCCTCCTCCAAGTGAGATTCAGCTGACCCCTGTCCTGCTTCTCCACCAGAGTGTAGACTCTTAACTCTCTCTGCCAGTTCAGATCCCTCTTTTATTTTTTTTTATTTTTTAAAGATTTATTTATTTATGCATACAAGAACTGGGGTACAGGCCAGAGGTGTGGGGGTAAGACGACTCACCAGAGACAGAGTGGGGAACAGAGCAGGCAGGTTGACTGAAATACACTGCTGAGGGGAGCAGTGGGAGAGACAGGAGAGGTCTGCTGCACCATATGGGTCACCTCCCCAGCTAGGAATCGAACTCGTGCTGCAGAGGCTGCAGATAGCTTCATAGTCTGAGACCTATCCCTTTGGGCCACCAGGGAGGCCCCAAATCCCTCTTTTAGAAAGGAAGATCAATTAATAATATTTTACTGTTCTCTCTTATGTCTGAAACAACTCAGATACAGGCAAAAGAATCACAGAGTTGGAAAAAATACTAGTTGTATTACCCATAAAATCTCAATTAAATGACAAAGCTTCCCTCTGTGGCCAGAGTGGACCTGCAAAGCCTCATCCTGAGTGAGGCAGACTTGCTTGCCTTGATGCAGACAACTGCTAAAAACAGCTGAGCCCCTGCCTTGCAAGATGAAGGATTACAGAGCCTACACCATGTAAGCAGACCCCCAGGAACAGAAGAAGGGTACTCAGTTCCTGCATCCAGAGGAGTTTGAATAGACATGTAAGCAGGTGAAAGGAGCCACTGATGGCATAAAGAGGCGAGAGGTACCTTGAGAGACTGGTCCTAGCAGAGGGACAAGATTTTATCGTGCACAAGGTGCTGACAATGGAGAGAAATGACAATACAAGGAAAGCAGAGGGAAGAGGATTTTAATCTCTTCTACAATATAATCTCCATGAGCAGGAAATTTAATTTTAATTTATAGTAATATCCACATGGCAGAAGAGTACCTAGAACATAGTAGGTACCAGCTATTGTCCTAAAGTCTGTGCCACCTCCATTTAATTCATATATGGTCAACTTGATTCCCAGAATGACGGTGTTAGGATGTGGGTTCTCTGGGAGACAGGTCATGAGTGTGGTGCCCTTGCGATGGGATTAGTGCCCTTATAAAGGAGACCCTACAGAGTCTTTCTCACCCTGCACCATCCGTGGATACAAGGAGAAGTCTGTGCCCTGGAAGAGAGCCCTCACCCTACCCTGATCGCAGGCTTTTCAGCTATCAGACTATAAGAAAAAAAAATTCTTCTGTTTCTAAAACAATGGGCCTCTGGTATTCTGTGAGAGCAGCCTGAATGGACTGGGACAGTGCTCAGTAAATGTTACATAATCACCTATTTGAGATGATGATATTAGATTACACGTGACTTGGTGACACGACCCACGTCTCAGACCCTGTATGAAAACCAGTAATAACAAAAGGGAGTATGGCAGCAGACTCAAGAAGGGAGTGCAGTGTTCCTTCATTTTAAGCAGTTGAATGGGGAGAATAGGTAAACTTTATAGAGAGCTTGTATACTTGAGAGCCGTAGCACATGGGCAATTGTCCGAAAGCTGTAACTAATGCATGAATCCATCTCAGTGCCTAAGAGATGGAATAGCTGTGGACAGCTGATGAAAGGATAGTCGGTAGTCGGTAGTATAGTGTAACATTGTGATTTATAGGAATATGTATTAAGTCATTCAGATGACCAAAATATATGTCTCATACATATTTGGTCTTTACAGTTCCTGTCTCATGGCTCTCAAAAACCTTGGAATTTCCTAAGCGTTGAGAGTGACAAAGGTGTCTTTCGTTATGTGAATGAGGTGACCTTGGAAAGCACCAAGGAGAACCAACCCTGTGATTAGAGGACTGGAACTTCCAGTGCCACTCCTCCCTCCTGGGACTAGACAGGGGTCAGAGGTCGAGTTCAATTGCTGATGGCCAATGAGTTGATACATCATAACTCAGTCAGGAAGCCTCCATAACTGCCCCAAAGGAGAAACTTCGGAGGGCTTCCTCGTTGGTTAAAATGCAGTGATTTGTGCACCTGGACAGGGCATGCAGGCCCCATGCTTTTTTCCTTATCTTGGCCCATGCTTCCTTCCAAATCATTGTTCCTGAATAAAATATTTTGTAATAAATGCATGATCTGATAAGAAAATGGGTTCCTAAATTCTGTGAACCTTTTTTAACAAATTAACATAACCAAAGGAGGAAATTCAGGTTATATTTATAGTTAGGTAACAACCTGGGCTTGTGATTGGCACCTGAAGTTTTTGAAGTAGTGGGAATCTCTACTGTGTAGCTCATTGGGCAAAATCCCCGATAGCTGGTTGGGATGTCTAGTTGGCATCTCAAGTAGAAAGCAGTCTATAGGACTGAACTTTACCCTGTGGAATCACATGCTATCTTTGCATAGAGAGTGTCAGAATTGACTTGAATTTTTGAACACCTTGTTAGTGTCACCTTGCTGGTATAGGGATGACATTGAAATTATGTCCTAGGATCCTAAAT